TGACTGACGCAATAAAAGCTCAGAACTTTTTCACAGTTAATGCAATTTCAAAAAGTTGCATATGTTTACTACCAAAGGGTTTGGATGCCATATAGTTCAAATTTTAATGATTCAATTCCGCTGTCTGCTACAGATTGCATTTTCTTCTTCCGATTTCGCGTCAAATTCCTACATCGACTGCACCTACTTTCAACCTGATTTTCTTCAATCTGTTCTTAAATTTTCTGAAGGTGTGTACCGTTTCTGAAAGCTTAGAATGTTTGGACATAGTCAGCGCTCAGAACTTCTCAATTGGTCGCAGTTGAGGAAAATTTGGTGGGTTTCCATTTTTTGCCACAAAATTCAATTTTTTCAGATGTCGGCACGAGTGACCTTTTTGGCGTCATGGGACCTTGCGAGGTCAGGCCAAAAAAACTTTATTTTTATGATCTTTGATAATAAACGATTCCAATCCACCTTTAATGCATGATTTAAGATAAACCCCTGATTTACAGCACCCTCTAAAATGACGGGATCGGAAACATGACCAATGCTAGACATGCATTGCCAAATTCTTCATTTTTTGGGAATTGGTCTTTCTTTTGGACTTTGTCTTCATATTTACTTCACAGGGGTTGGAACTATGGAAAAAATGCCTTCCTGGAAGATTTGAAGGGTCATCTCTGACGTGGGCTCATCGTCCATGATGACCACTTTTCCTCTAATTTTCTTCAATAATTTCTTGCACAACGCATGAATCCTTTCCTGTTGTGTTGGTTTGTAATTTTGTGCTGGTGTTTTGCCCTTGCTATAATCCCTAGTTTATGGACTTTGATTTTGCTCAAATAGCTTTTTGAAATCTTGACCATCCTTGTCGTGCAGCCGTTGCCGTTGATGAATGATTTTGTTAAATTTTTTTTATCCGATTTTTGACTTTTGTCGTCGCTAGCTTTGCAGGCCGACCAGTGGGGACTTTGAATTTGAGTTCATTGGATTCCTCGTACTTTTTTATGTAAGAATTGACATTTGAATGAGCAATACCTTCTTGCTAGAAAAAGTGCCAAGTGATTTTAGAATCATAGTTTGTTCGATTTTTGCGAAACACAATCACTCTTTTTTTCAACTCTTGCCTTTCAACCCAAGTTTTCTAGTCTTAGCCATGACTCAATAATTGGTGACATATATCAATGGAAAGCTTATAACTTGGTCTATTAAAAAATAATTTTTTCGAAATTTAATTTCGCTGTGTTCCCGCCTAGCGCGCCTTTTACGGGGCAGTCAAAAACCTTAGTGGATGCTCTTTATATATATATAATCGACGTAAATACGACTTTATTTGTTGGATGTCGGCATAATCGTGCCCGTTTACGAATTCCTTGTGGAATCAGATCACAAGAGGATAATTACTTTAGTATTTACTGCTTTGAGCAGAATTTCGTCGTATGTGATTAAATTAACTAAACTGTCCTCCTCAGCAAAGTTAATTCAATCGCAGTCGAATTGATGCAGATTTCAGTATTCTGTGTCTATTGACAAGTCCACGGGCAAATTTTGTGTGTGTATCCTTCCAGACTAATTGATTGTTGAAAGATTCATCAAAGAATTTAATTTGAGGAATTAGCTGCCTCTCTTCTTTGAGTGGAACAAAAGCCAAAGTGCTTCCGGGTATCGGAAAGTTGTCCTCTGTGTGTCCTCGCAGGAAAGTCGGAAAAGAACAATGTGCTCGTATTCACATGAGTGAAGGCACAGATGGAAATTTGGTTCTCATTTGAATTCTCTGTGCATGACAAAGTCCTTCGTCTGCTTAGGAAATGTTTACTTTGGGTAATTAAAGTAATCAAAATGTTTACCTTGTGAAAGAATCACAAGGATGACAAAATATGTGTGTACAAAAATAGGCCTTGGGGTGCATTTTCCTCGGGATGCTACTGTTTTGAGGGATTTGTGCGCCTTTGTGACATCGGTGTAATCCGACCTCTCGAAATTTATCCTTTGCATAAAAATAAATATAGGATAAGAATGTCACAAACTGTATAAACAAAGATGAAACGCTAAATATGATGAGATTTTTGAGACAAAAGTACTCTTCATTTGCATGAAAACTTTGGTTTAATTCGGAATAGGGTGTGGAAATGGGTATAAGAGTTTGCATCTCTGTATTGTTGTATGTACGTGAGGGTTAAAAATTGCATAATGTCCTCGAAAACTATGTACTGTGTGTACATATACATATGTAAATGTACATTGAACCACAGCTGGAGACCGGATTGTCGTACTTTCATGGTTGGTGGTTTGTCAGAAATCTTCAAAAGAAGTTCAATGCCGTAGTTTCGAAAAGTACCGTAGAGATTGATGTAGAATCTCTTTGAAGATATAAAAATGACAAGTGAAGCGGTATTATAGATATTAGATTCAAGTGATGAGTAGCATTTTTTATAATTGATCCACATGAGCTTGGATTTCCACTCATTACAACAACGAAAGAAAAAAATGTTACACATTCTTCAGTGGAAGTTTTAAGATTTGAACTTGTTGTAAAGCATTTCCCATGTACCTTAAAATGCTAAATTGTATTTTAACGTTGATAAAAAAGTTTGAGATTTAAAGTTTGTCCGATGGTACAAAATATAAAAGAAACCCAAAAAAGGAAAGCTTAGATGAGACTAAGAAGTGCGATAAAAAGTATTTAATAAATTTCTTCTCCAGTGAAGGACATAGAATTTTAAAATTTCCAGCATCAGCGCACCCATTTCATTTTACTCTAATATCTGTACATAAGCAGCATGTATGCATTTATGTACATATAATTAAAAGTAGACCATGTTAGGCTACACCTGTATATCATGTATCAACCTTCAGTATATTTGTAAGCATTCATAATTTTTAGTGACAAGAAAAATTCACAAATGATTTTAATACTTCTCTCTGAGTTATATTTCAAATTTGATAGTTATTGTATATTTGTATATACGTGGTAGTGGATGAAATGGGGCGCTGATGCTGGAAATATTAAAATTCTGTGCCCTTCACTGGAGAAGAAATTTATTAAATACTTTTTATCGCACTTCTTAGTCTCATCTAAGCTTTCCTTTTTTGGGTTTCTTTTATTTATTAGTTTTTGTTCGTATTGAAGAGTAATTTATGTGACCACCAACTAATGACCTTTAAGAGACCCCAAGCATCACCTAGATACTAAATGGGTTCTGGATTGAGAAGTCGCTGGGTCGACCTTAGCAACTCAACTTTGGGCGGTGGTGGGAGTGGTTACATTTCACCACCATCAAAACTTTCTCACTTTTAAACCGATTTTGTCTATTTTAATTTTGTATTTTTATAGAAATGTGTATCAACTTTTTATCCGTGTACTTTTTTCATGCATGCCTTAAATTTTTTTAAATCTCCAAAAAACACACTATTGGTTGGGTTTTTATTGAATATCTCATAAACCGTTGGATGCTTCAGGCGGCCAAATCAGGGCTCTGCTCGATGTAGCCATAATTAACTCTGGCCAAAATTTCATTAAAATCGGTTGGAAACTGACGGAGATCTGAAAAAATTAAGCTTTTCAAACCTGTAGTGAATGCTTGCTTAGATGATTTTTTTTCCATATAGTAACTATGGCCTCATCTAAGAAAAATGAGTGTTGAATTGTCCAGGGATTTTAAAAATAAAATTGTCTAATGAAATTAGTTTCGCAGTAACAAGAGAATCCAATCATGCCATTTAGTTGCCACCTTGACGTTCCCACAAAGAATGCTGAGAACAGTGCAACTGCTACTTTTTAACGTCCTGTAAAGTTCTTACGTAATCCAGCAGGCCTTTTAACTTCTCGTTCATAATTAATTTGGTGAAAATTGGTCAGATAAGTGCTTTCCCAAATTTTACAGTTTCCAGTTGCAACTTTTTTAATTTGATGAACGTAAGCGTTTTTGAGATGTTAAAAAATTAAGAAGCTCAAAATGCCTCAGATATTTTAATGTACTTATTAATTCATCAGCAGGGTTTACGTCGATAATTTTTTACCAACATTCACCATGTACATATATGTATATTTCTTATAGTTAGAGAGATCCCGAAGAGAACATAGACAGAGAAAGTAATTATAATCAGTAATCAGTATAATAGATATAATCAGTCATTTCTAGAAACTTGGTGAACCATTTGACTTTCTCTTTCTTACTGACTACAACCAAATGGGTTTTAGTAATTAACAAAATTGCTCATCAGAGTTCCCCAAAATCGTATCAAAAAGTTTACATAATCGCATTAACAATGTCTTGATTCTGCCTTTTAAATAGTGATCACTCTCATAAGAAAATTGTAACGAACTTGACCTCCCGCAGTTTTGTTTTAATAGTTTGAAAGTAAAAATAATTAGGTTAATTTGTCCCCAATTTTATAGAGTGGATAGCCTGTTCTCTTTATTTTAGGGAAAATGGTCCCAGAAAACCTGAATGAACAATGTTATGATGTAATTATTCCTAAATTTCTTCGTCTTGATTATTTTAAGGTCTTCGTGATAGCTGCTTAAAAACAATTAATCACTAATTAAACTTTCGTATTTATTTAGTGTAATGGACAAAATTTCATCTTGGACACTTAAATGACTTATTTTAAAGGAAATTAAAATGTACAAACGAATAGTCGTGTCCCGCCGGATATGGTTTTATTACTCTTTCAAAGATGAAATGAAAGTATTTTGTGCAAATTTCCGGCTTTCAAGATTAAAGATGATTGCTTTTTGCAAATTGCATTTTCAAAATTTCTTGAGAGTCAATTCCTTGAAGGATAGATTCTATTTATATACATAAGTGCTTCCAGACAATTAGTTGGTCTAAGGAATCCTAAAAAAATTTACGATATGAGATCATACATAACTATATTGTGAACCTTGGTTTTATTTATGCTGTATACATACATTGAAAGTTTGATAGGCACCAATATAAATAAGTATGCATACCATATACATATTTATGTAAAAATAATTTGCATGTAAATGATATACGGCTAGTCACTGAATATATTTTTTTAACCAGAACAATATATTCTGAAGGGGAGTCCTTGTCTCGCTCCGATTTATTAAGCTGTTAAAAATTTAGACAAGTTTTTTGGGTAGTTAAATTGGTACAAGTAATAATACATGATGCTGTTGTTGTCGGCAGATTAATTTAACTGCTGGGGCAAACGCTTCCGACACCAGCGCAACTTCCTTCGCGGACAATGTAGGCTTTGGTCATGTCAGTTGGTTGCAAATTCTTGCAGGTCGTGGCTGGACCAGTGAAGTCATTCTTTTGGCATCCGTCAAAGTTGCCGCAAAGACCACACTGTTGGGCTCGGAAACGGCTTCCGATCGTGACCGTTGTGTAATGACCGGTGTATCGGATGGCAAGTCCCAATGGTCTGGACAAGAGGAACACATTGTTGTCATCGTGCTTGTAGATCCTAAAAGTAGTCAAATTTACATAGGAATTAGTTGGCGTCTTGTCAAAAGAACTTAATAAGTAGTCTGCTTACTTGAAGATCTTGGTATCTCCTTCGGGGAAAATGAGCTTGTCGGAAAGGGATTGAGATTTTCCGTCAACAATGACATTGTTCATGTCGTTGAGTTCAACCTTGTGCTCACCAGCCATAATCTTAAGGCCAAGCTTGTCATTGGAGATTTTCTTTCCAAGAACGACGAATCGTGGCTTATCAGAGCAGTCTCCAGAGACGAGGGTGTAGCATTCGGAGAGATCGGCAAAGTAGGTAGCGTTGTCGTAAGTTTGGACGGCGTGAGGAGTAACATCACAATAACCTATAATTATGAATAGTTAGTAATTTGTGTGCAAAACTATGGACAGTATGCATGTTGACTTACCGTAAACTCCCAATTCGAAAGCCTTATACATCAATCCAGAGAATCGGGAGTGAACTGGGCGCTTAAGTGGTCCTGGGAGGAAGTTGAGGTCGACCCCGTGGAAATGTTCAGACTCGCCACCAGATCCGTGCCAGTGGATGTCAGCCTCTGGATTCTCATCATCCATGGTCACATCAAGCTTGAGTTCGCCTTGAAGGTGTCCGTCAGCAGAAACTCCATGATCACCTTCAAATTAAAAATAATAACTTAATTAATTTGCAGGCTTTACATAAGTTAATGCGAAATTAAAGACTAAACAACTAACCATGAGCGGCATGACCATCGACAGTGTCAGAGGGAACCCAGTATGGCATAAGGGCAGCTAAAATATGTTCAAAAAATTAGCATTCACATAAAGAAATCAGTTCTGATAAAAGTATTATGGCAAACTAACCAGCAACAAGTGCTCCAGGGTACTTCCATCGGTTTCTTGCTTCTGGGTCAACCTTGTAGTTGATGGTGACGTTGGATTCACGAAGGTTGGTCTGTTTGTAAGCCGCCCACAGGCAGGGTTCAGTGGCTGGGGTAAGGTCTCCAGGGTACCTATCAAAATAGGACACAAAATCTCAGTTTCACACATACAATTATTTGGTAATTATGTGCAATATATTGGCAATAATGTGGTTTGTGCGTACTTGGGGGAGCTCTTTTGATCACGGCATTGCTTGTATGGCCAGGCGTCACTTTGAGCTTCATCCTTTTGAGCTTGAGAACGGTGAGCTTTTTTGGTGATCTTGATTCCAGCAGAGTTTGCGGGGCAGCTAGCATCCTTGGAAGAAATGTCCTTGGACCAGGCGACATTAATGGTTCGCTCGTAGGTTGGTTCATTCTCGCCATTGTAGTCAAAGAAATCGGAAACCTTGGCTTGAGTAGCGGCGATGTCAATGCAAACGACTCCACCCTTGTTGAGGGCATCATCCTTGGCAGCCAACTTGGTCTTGACTTCAATCTTCTCCAAACCAGTCTTAACTAGGGTAAGGGTCATGTCGAGGGATCGGGTCTTGGGGGTGGTTCCCGTGTACGTGAAGGTAAGGGAGGACTTTGCCATAAGCTTGTTTCCGAGCTTGTCCTTGGGATCTTCCTCATATTTGACCTTAGCTTGACCTTCAACCTTGTCGAAGACGGATGTGGCAGATAGATCTTTATGATACCAAAATTTCATTCCACATGTCTCTGTAGTTGGGGACAAAAATAAACTGGACATCATGTATCTAGTTCCTACACGTAAAAGTGTAAGTGATTGTCCAGCTCGGCCGCTATATGGTTTATTAGAAATTAATATATGACGCAATTTAAGTTTGCATATAAAATCAATAGACAGAACCTTACCCAAGATTCTTGAACTCGGGTCCATAAAATTTCCTCAACTGTCGAAGAACATGAATCCTGGAATGCACCTTCTCGCAGTCGAAATACTTGCCACCAATGTTAACTCCTTCCAAAGCTTTGTATTTGTATCCTGATCCTAATCTCCTTTCCTCACGGAATTTCTCCCCCTTGGAAATGACTTCCATTCCCTTGCACAATGGACAACTTTCATGAAGAAGGTCGACAATTTTGTTGTCATTCATTGTAGCCGGGGTATCAGAGTGAATCGAAGTGACTGCAGTTGCATGAACTTGAGCCATAATTGGATCATCTTCAGTAGGAGCAGAAATAGCAAAGTTGATGGATTGTTGCTTGACATCAAGCCCGAATGTGATCTTGCGTGGGATACGGATCCTTAAGGTTCTCAAGGCCTCAACGGAATGTGCAGTACCGAAGGGTGCCATGTGATTATTGACTGAGCTGATTCCATGAACATTTAGACCAAGATGAACTTCGTAGCTGCGATTCATTGTTGTTCCCGATTTGTCGGATTTAACCTTAGCGTGAAGTTTGGCCATAGTGGAAACCCCAGAAATAGTTGAAACTGGAATGCCAAGCTCATTTGGTTGTTCGGTCATGACCCCACCGAGTAGAATCATCTTGGAGAATTCCTTATCGTAAGCAGCATTACTGAGTTCTCCAAGTTTCTTCATTACTTCAAAGGAAAATCCATTAGCAGTATGTAACATAGAAAAACTTATAATTAACAATTACATTGTGGGATTGTGGTAATAGTTTTCTCATCAGCAGCGTGATAAGCGACAAATCGATCGTGAAGCATTACACAAATTTCAATTCGGAGTGGATCAGCTTGACGTTCTTGAACCCCAATTTTATTAAAAATATCCTTGATTTCATCAAAATCAATGACACCTGCAGTCACATTTATTTTAAATTAACCGATTGGATTGGAAATTAAAAATTAAATGCAATTTCACCAGTGATCATGGACATGATTCGCGAGGAAATGGATTTCCCGAGGCCTTCCAATCGAACAAAGATAGAGAGATACTTGGAAGCGTAACCTCCTGCTGAACTCTTGACTCCGAAATATACCGTTTGTGGAAGAATGCTATGCCCACTCTGATATTAAAACCGATAAGTATTATAATATTTTAATCCTTCAAGGCTCATTTCAAGGGGTTGACTTATGTCTCCTTACCTTCTGGACATTCAGAGTAGTGAGATGGGCGAAATGGTACTGCGGGTCGTAGTAGTCGCTAATGTAGATGCCAGAATGTTTGCTTTTCGTTTCAGTACGTCCCATCATGCTCAAGGCAGTTTTAGCCCAAGATGAACTACCAAATTAATGTCAAAAAGTATTTCATATATGTATTTAGAAAGTTAATAGATTAATGTAATACCAGATAATATCGGACTATTTTTTCAAAACTAAATAAATTGAACGTACCGGAGCTTCAAACATTGGTCGGTCGTTCCAGAAAGGCTTTTTAATAGGGTTATAACAAAGTTCTTCACTTCAGGGTCCCTCTCTGTCCACATATAGATTCCAATTTGTTGGAAAGTGTTCTCCTCAGGGTATGATACTAGGGTCCATAGAATAGCAAGATTTCTAGTTTCAGAATCTTCTTGTCTGTTGAAAAATATGGGGAGGATGTTCTTCCTGAAAACGAGAGGATCTTTCTTAAGAAGCGGAGTAATTCCAGAGATAGCCATAGTACGAATTGACCGTTCTTGTTTGTTGTCAACAGCTATCGGTAGTAATTTCTCTGCCGCTTTGAAATGGTTCACATTACGGAGAGCCAGAATCGCTTGTGTCTTTACATCAAAACTAGATCCAGCTATAAATTTCAAGCAAGTTGTCAGTACATGATTTTTAAAGTTAGTCAATATAACGAGAGAAAATCTGTAATGAGACGTACAGTCAAGATTGTCGGACCAATATTTAACCCACTTATCCAAAAGTCCTGTCCTTTCACAATTTGTTTTCCTACAAGCACGCCCCAGTAGGGAAGCAAAAGAAAATTCTATAATACGTGAGTTGTATTTAGTATTTTCAGGTTTAATTAGTCCCTCGAGCTCCTTTATAAGATTTTCTGTTGGATTGCGGATGTAGTGCGCCATGGGGGCAATGTTACGAGTGAGGAAGATACTGTCGGATGTGCTAGCAGCAATGTCACGAAGAACAAGGGCAGCGGGGCCAGTTCCGGAAATAGCAAGTGCGTCCAAGAACATTTTTTCCTCTGTAGCATCTCCTCCTTTCACCTTGTTGTCGTAAGTATCCTTGATATGTTGGTAGTTCAAAGCCGAGACAAAAGGCAGGAGAGAGAATGGGCTTACTAAAAGGATGAACATAAATGAAAAATTATAAACGTAAAAAAATTAAAGCTGAAATTCCAATTTAATTTCATTTGAACTTCTAAGCTAATATTTAACACCTTTGTGGAATTCCTTGACGTCCTTGTAGAGCTCTGCAGTGTCGAAACTATTGTGCATCTTTTTGATATTTGTAAGGAGCTATTTGACACATTAAATATTGAAAAATTTATACTAGATACAATTTACTAAGAAATGCCGTATTTCATATGATACACAATTAAATCGTATCTTACTTGATCTGCAGCCTTAGTTTGTCCAGCAGAATCAAGATCAAGACCTTTGTGATGGAAAAAGAAGGGCACTGGATTGCCGAGATCCTCATCTTCCTTGACATCATTTTCAAATACGAACTTCAAATCGTTGAAAGTTTTGGGATTGGATGGGGGTGGAACGGATCCAGAGTTGGAGCTTTTCAAGTTCATCTTCATAATAGTGAATGAAGATTGGCTGTGTCCATCTGCACCAAAAATCATGTAGGCGACGGATGATCCAACATGAATGTTTTTTGCGACCAAGTTTCCCTCCTGAATTTCCAAGTCATAGACTGAGAACGAGGTTGAGTTCAAAACATCCTGAAAAAAATATTATTAGCGGTTGGCGACATCAACTTATGATTAATAATGGAAACAATATTTTAAAATATACCCTTGAGTAAACCTCTGGACAATACTTGATAGTCATGCCAGGTTTACGGAATCGGCGAGGAGGATCTTCACATTGTGCGTGGGACCTAAATTTACGAACTTGGGCATTGTTTCGAAGTACACGGTTGTCATCTTCCCCTGGTATGATGACATAATCCGTTTTGCATCGACCTAAAATTCCACTCTACATATTTATGTAGATTCAAAAAAAAACATTTAGAAAATTAGGAATGCAGCGAAACAAATTGTTTTGTTATGAACAAGAGTCTCACCTCCTCAGTGACGAAGCTATTAGATTTCTTGATATCAATTTTACCAAGGTCAAGTTGAAGGGAGGAGGCAATACCTCTCTTGATGTTCTTGGCCCATTCATCAGAATTTTTGTCAAGGACGATTCCCTTAGCCTGCAGCAAACCCAGGATTAAATAAGTAACAAAAACCATAGGATATGATAAATTAGCTATATAAAGAAATATACCACGCCATTTGTAAATTGTACAGAGAAAGGTTCAGACAAAGGATTCAACTGGTTGTACGCCTTCATCGCGAACTTCGGATAGTTTGGAGAATCAAACTGGCCATTGTGGGTTCCGAACGTAATGTCATCCAATTTGACATTAATGTCATTTCCGTTGGAAGAGATATGTATATCCCCACTAATGTTAAATGTGCTAGAACTCTTGACATAGTCATCAGATCCAACTAGGGACAAGATTGTAAAACCGTAAATGAATTCCTTTCCTGGCGTGAAGAGGTTGGTACCGACATCTCGTTTGACAAACGCCGAGCTGCTTAGCACCAAAGCTGCGAAAATTACTAATTATTTTTGAACATAATTTTTTGAAACCAATTAAATTTCTTGAAACGGAGGTCAGTTTTGAATACTATTAGTGAAACTGTCTATATCTATCCTTACCAAAGAGAAGAAGCCACTTCATTGTTCAGAAGTATCAATTTTAAACCCCTGGACTCGATCTAGCTAGCTCCGAAACTCGACTGAGGGCTGATTGCCCAACCATCATGGGCAACCAAATATTCAAGGACTATTGGTCAACATGGTCATGTCAGGGGTCACCTGGATTTTGAGTTAAATTTATTTACATACTATGTACATAAATACGAAACAAAGCGACATGACTACCATACGAAAATAAGGGCATGATACTAATGAAAGTGGCAGTTGGTTTATTGTCTGTAAAAAATGCATGGTAACAGGAAATTTAGTGAAATTTATATAGATTATAGATGGGGACTGTAGCTACTTATAATTGTCCACCAATGGTCCAAACACTCCATTCCTTCCGATTGAGCCAAGCTTTTTGCGAACGATCGCCATGAACGTTTTGCCACTGGTTTCCCCAACGAGTTTTATTATTGCCGTCATGACCTGTATAAATTCTCGCAAGTTTTTGGGTGGTTTTTGTCTATTGGAATATTCCTTCTTGATTAGTGCCCAAAACCGTTCAATTGGACGAGCTTGAGGGATATTTGGAGCGTCGTCTCTTTTTTCAACAAAATCGATATTTTTGCTTCGAAAAAAGTCTGTCACAATCTTGTCATAGTGGGATGTCGTCATGTCCATGACATGCTTGTTTTTGATGAAGGGGGTCAATCTCTTTATGATACACTTTTCACTTAGAGTTTATAATTCAAAGTCTTGCAAATAATAAATAGCATTTCTTGAGAAAAGCTATCTCAACTCTCTTCACTACTTTCACCGATCCCAGGAGGGCAGGTCGGGCAACTGATTTTTTGAAATCTGCATTTTCGCGTTCCTCGTATCTGTCCAGTACTCGGTTAATTTTGTTCCGATACATTCCTCCATTTGGAACAAAATTGTGAGTGTTTTTTCGATCCCTGAAAAAAAAATTTGGTACGTTTTGGCAAAACCGTTTTGCGACTTTCTCGGAACTTTTTGCTCTCATTTTAGAACGAATAGAGATAAAGGATTTTGGTTTTCGGATTCAGAAAGCTGATTAAATTCCGATGGAGACGTAATAGGCTTGCAAAATTTAACATGACTCCTAAAACAATTAAGCGAGCGGGGCAAACTGCCACTTTCATTAGTATCATGCCCTTATAATCTTGCTTTTATTCCGTATACCTAACAACATGCAATATACTTATAATGGTGGTTACATTTGACATTATTGACAAATATGTATACATAAATAGGACGCCAGATTTATGTAAATATGTACCCTGGATATATGCACACATATTTCGTCCCGTTCTGATATCATTTAATAATTTAAAGTAAAATTTGTCGTCTTATTATGCAATCGTAGTATTTGTCCTTGATTGATTTTTCTTATACTCGATCTTGAAAATACGATAATGAACTAATCTCATGCTTTTTATTTTCATCCTTCTCACCACTTAATGAATCAGATTACTACTGATAAATACACTGCAGTAATCAATAAAATCATGTGATGGTAATTATCGCTCGAATATCTAGATTATTTATTAAATATGTATTATAGTGGGCTTGCTAATACATACATATATCAGTATGTAGCATTGTGCTAATCCTCCTGCAAAACCTCTCACATGAATTATCGTCTTAAAAACTATGCAATGCACATACTTATGTACATATGTAGATACGTAAAAAATATGCTGTTGGACTTCATTGTATTAGCCAATTTTGTATAAATGTTTTCATAATGTGCTGAACTAATTAAATTATCGGTTAATTTTATTAGGATTTTACCGATTTTAAGAATTTCGCATTGAGATATTGAATAAATTGAATAAATTGAACTAAAATAAAGCCCTCTTTAAAATACAAATATGATTGCGTTAGTTTTTCCTCCAGAGAGTAATAACACGTCTTAGCAGTATAAATCTTACAAGGGACACTCACGACCTGTCGTTTGAGTCCAGGGTACCCACCATGTTTTTTAGAATCTACGAGGACCCCAGATGAAGGATCCATTCATATTTCCGTGTAAAACTCATATTTGGCGCCATGGCGTGGCGCCAAACTTAAAAATTTGCATTTTCGACCAACTTCAAACCCTCATAACTTTTGCAGTTTATGTCGGATTTTCAAAATTGTATGCTTAAAATGATCACAAAAGTCGAAATTTTTGACAAAAAAATAAAAATAAAAAATTTCTAATTTTTGCAATATTTTTAGGATTTTTTCGACGAACCCCCATTTCGAAGAAAATTACGAAATTTTGCGAAAAGTTAAAAGCGATAATTTTAGAAAAAATTTCATTGAATAAGAAAGTTGAACTCTTTGTCATGATTTTTGCCAAAAATTTTGAAAATCCGTCCAGGATTTCAAAAGTTATGGCGGTTTCAAAAATAAAAACATTCAATTTTGGCGAATTTGGCGCCACGCCACGTCGCCAAATATGAGTTTTACACGGAAATATGAATGAATCCTTCATCTGGGGTCCTAGTAGATTCTAAAAAACATAGTGGGTACCCTGGACTCAAACGACAGGTCGTGAGTGTCCCTTGTTAGTATGTACAGACAACGCTTGACCTTTAAAATGTCACACGATAACAAAACTGGTGCCACGTCTTATGTACTGATATGTATGTAAACAGCCTGCATGTTTTATATCCAAGACATAATGAGTGACTTTCATTACATCTCATATGCAGCCTAAGTTATCTCTAAAAGAGACAACAATCAAGCCAATTAGTTATTAGCGATCCAAAGTAATCACTCCATTTTATCGGTAACCATATTTAATATGTATCGGTGTCTAGTATGGCTTGGGTGTTTCAGAGAAAAAACATGCGATATGGTTTGTTTTAACTGGATAAAATAGAGAGAGAAATGTCAAATTCTTGAACTTGACGATAACATAATCCTCTCTCTGGTTCAATTTTGATGCACTCACTTATATCTCATCGAATTGATTGAATTGAGGATGATACATATATGACACGATTTATATTTTTTCTTTACAGTATAGCTTTTTCGTCTCTATTATTTCATTACTTTCATTTTTAACAAGATATCCAGCTAGCACTTCAATATCCGTCGGATAATAATTAATACCCACCAAAATCATAAATGGGAGACTTTCAATAAAGATTTATCAGTTGTAGTTAAAAAAATAAGAAATATATAAGGGGTGTGTTGCTCGGTGTAATTTTGCATCATGTTAATATCTAAGGGAAGAAAGGATCGAGGGGCATATTTCTCAGGTAAGTACATAAATATTTGTTTTTCAAAAATCATTACATAATAATTATAATATGCAATTAAATGACAGTACCCTGGCTAATTTTACTACAATTTGGATGTCTGAGTGTGGTCACCTCGCACCAATTGTTTGACGAAGGAAAAGAGTACAAGTACAGTTATTTTGGCCTTTTTACGACCGGAACTGAAGAACCAGTTTCATACTCGTCCAGCTATATGCTCATTGGAATGCTACGGGTACAGGGGAATACTGGAAATTAGCTTACAGTAAAGGTAAATGAATATGACCGTTTGCATATACATATGTACACATATGTAGATAACTTTCACAATTTGAAAGTATCAAAAACAAGTCGACGCGGCATTAACAAGATTTTGCATTACTAACAATATTTCGTATTGGTTTCAAAATTCCTGATAAGTAAAAAGTTTATCCAACGAATAAGTTGTTCTTAGATATGTAGGTAATATCGAAATTTCGAAACTCGAATTGCGAATGTAACTTTTTTAAACCTTTGGCAAAATCTTATGGCAAAATTTATTTTGTAATTAGCAAAATATGTTCATAGCCACGAGGTATAATTAAGCAATACGCCAACAACCTTTAATAAATACCGTAATTCCATCGTGGAAAAATAATATGGAAATTGCAATTATTTTGCAAAGTTCAACATATTGGAAAATTTGGGTCCAAAATCGAGGCAGCGGCCAAATTCTAGTAATTCTATACAATCATTTTTTTAAATTATTTCCGGTGATATTCGACAAGGTTTGAAAGATTTTAATATCAAACTCAAAATTTGCAAGAAAATTCGCACGTTTTGGCTCGTATCGCGAAAACTGTCCATGCGCCACCCCAATATTATTTCAGATTCTTTATGTACACAAAATTACGGAAATTTTAAGCCATCAAACTTGAAAATCGCTCCAGCGCGAAAAAACACTATTTCATTGTATATATCTATCTTAAATAAGTTTTTCCCATTTAAATTTTTTATCATAACCAAAATATTTTGCGAGACCATTTCATTACTTGATGGCACCATAAATATGCACATACACTGGAGAGCAAATGTGAACGCCCAAAACCACAAGCACAATTTAAATCATAGTTTCTCAGTAAGTACGGGGAATTTTTGAAAGGTCGTTATCTCATTTTGAAGACAAATTAGTACACAAACATTCACCAAAGAAAATTTGTTGTAAGATTTTTTTTCACTCCGTACGGACCCATAGCGTGAAGTTAAGAAATGAGCACCGGTGCAAAAGTCATCGCCACAAACAATTAAAATGATAGCACTTTTAAAATTACTAAAGTAGGATAACAACTTTTTTAATTTTTAAGTACACCTACTATTGATGTATATATAAAATAATTCCACTTCAATTAAAAAAATATATCCCAGAAGAAAATGCCCAATAATGAAACAACAGTCGCTATTCAAGATTTGGTCATTCATCACTACGAAAATGGGGGGAAGACGCAACAAGAAATTGCTGAGGTGGTCAAAAAATCTCGTCAACTGTCCGTGACATGATTTCACGTTACAAATTAACGGGATCAATTGAAAATAGGCGACGAGCAGGACGTCCACCAAGTTTCATCACAGGCGAGTAGAAAATATTTGCTCGAAAAGTGACCAATAATCCAAAACTTTCGTCTCCCAAAATTTCTGGTGAAGTAGAAAATGATGTTAGAAAAGTATCAAGTGGTTGGGCAAGCTGGGGAATATCGAAACTCAGTGCTCAAAAAAATTATAGAGCCAGGAGGAAGCCTACATATCAAAAACGCACCAATAGAAAATATTAAAATTTGCAAGGCAACACACAAATAAAGATTAAAATTTTTGCGAATCACTCTCCT